TATGTCTATAATTTTCCTAAATAAAAAATTGATATATTATGAATACATTGTGAAGTAGATAAACTATAATAAAATAAATAAATAAAAAGAAGACAATTTTAAGCATTAAAGCCTACCAATATGAATGTGTGATTTATGTCCTTATTTACTAATCTAAAATCCACAACTCAAGGGTTTATTACATATCCAACGTTATAATAACAAAAAATTGAGCGTTTAAGTATTTAATAATGAAATTTCGAATTAAATTTTCAGCTCATCGTAATATATATACATATAAATGTATATGTACACTCACAAGTCACACTGTATAAACTATATTTTGCATACGATTGTTTAACAGATTGCTGCATGCAGGAACAACATTTTATTAAACAGTAGACGTTAGTTTATATCGGAAAAATCCAAACGTTAAGATACGTGTCCCAATGTCTGCTCACGTCACAATTTCTACTTAATGGCTTATTTTTAAAATAATATAAAATTACAGAAAAATACACTAGTGAATAGAAATTGTGGAGGAAACAGAAATTGGAACATTTACGATATCTTTATGGTAGAACGTTTAAGATATTCTCCATGCTTTCTTAGGTCAACCCTTTGTGTAATCCTCGAAGCGAAAAGTGGAATTGTTAATGTGATGAAACGTCCGTTTTACAAGCAGGACATTTTCTTCATTCTTGAAGGCCTAAGGCACATCGTTAATTAATGTCCATGCTTTTGATATTTTTTTAGCTTCTAGGAAGTAATGTCGAATCTTTTTGTGAAGGACGGTACTTCGACGGTATAAAGCAATTCTATCTTTTAAATGATGTGTTGCTTTGTTATACATTCAATATTATACTATATTATGTTATAAGTTAAGTAGTATATTAAAGCCTGTCCGTGTAATAACTATTAAATTGTTATTATAAAACTGCGGGCACACTTTAACATTACATCCTATGGTTACTCTAAATCTACTTCCTCACGATACTATGAAACTGATTGAATGAAATGACTATCTTTGCCTGACGTATCCAAATGCAATGTTTTTTCTGACGACAGTGAAATACACTGTTTTTCATTTTATAATCAAAATGTAACATTCGTAAGGAAAGAAAAGAAATATATTTATTTTCGCAATTATATAGTCGAAATGTGCTACTTTTCTTAAGATGATTAAGCTGTACTATTTCTCTTAATGCACATCAATATTAAAATATTATTGGATATTATTCAGTTTTTTGTTTCGTGTCTACTTAACTTACGTACCTAGTTTATTATGCACTCAATATTTATATATACCTGAAAATGATATGTTACATAGTAGAACTGTACGAGAGCCCGAATACTCGCCATTTTGAGTACTCGACTGTGCAGTTGTTACAGATCGGGTCGGAATCCCAAAAATTTAACATGTTCGGGTGCCCAAAATGAAAATAGAACCTAAATCCTAATAGTTCGCAATCACTTCCATTTATATTATAATACTATTTGGAGACAACTATTGTATATGGAATGCATGTAAGTATGTATATTGTAAACGTACTACGTATCACCAAATGTATCATCCCTTTCGAGGTCGAAAGGCATGAAATAAACGATTACTATGTCTACTACTACTACTACTACTACTGCTTCTGCTACTGCTACTAATACTACATATTTGTGTGATTAAAAACTTTTGGGATTCAGGTGCGACTTCCATTTCGAGAAGCTTCCCCATTCCGATTGCAATTTCGGATACATAAAATTGCAGGTAACAGAGCTTCATAAACTTTCGGGATCCCTTTGTGAACCCGAATTATCGGGTACGCGCACCGCTATTTCATACAATTGTATAAGAGAGGTCGATTATTATTCAGAAGTATGGCCTCCTCAACTATTTGAATGACTTTGAAATATAAAGTCATCTTTCTAAACAACTGACCACCCTTCTAAATAATTATCAAGAAGTTGCACCTTATTCATATACACGCAGGATTTGTTACAAACATTGGACCAACATTTTTATTTATCAGTATATACTTCATAGGCACCTTGAACATTCTGTTTTTTAATTCACTACAAAATGTAATGTTTCCTCGTATGTGATTGATACGGAGATTATTTCCAGATAATGCTTAGTCATCAATTATGATGACAAATTACATTATACAATAATATAATTTTCACGTTGTTTCTGAAAATGTGCTATGTTTGATCAATATTGTATATATGTTTGGCCAATACTGAGCAAACAAATAGAACTGAATATTGGCTTTTCTAATCAGACAAAATGAGAATAAAGATACATTTTTCACAATAATTGAATGAATATTAGATTTCCTATACACATTGGGCACCTTTTTTACTTTTATAACATATAACGAGTGGTGTGCGAGAATCCGAAAATATTCGGTCGCATAGACATTTTTAAATCAGGTCGAAATACTTTCGTGACTCAATCCGTTACGAGTATCGTTTTCTCGTATATTTGTAACGGTCTTGCAAGAAAATCCAACATTCCGCCAATCGTTGAAAGAAGTTAATAAATATTATTCGAAATAAAAAATAGAAAATACTGCAATACCCAAACTCTATTACTTAAACACATCTCCAGTCTTTAATTTCAAATTCATTGCATTGCAACTTTGATTAATTTAATATCGTCCTTTCACGAAGAATCGAATTCTTTCCAAAAATCGTAGTAATCAAGAAAAATGTAACTTTATTCATAATTCCTAACAAATTTGAAAAATCAATCAATGTTTATCGAAATATACATATTAGTAATTATATACAGAGTATCTCAGATGAAGAAGACCATTTAAATGTCTCTTCCGTTTTTGTGTTATGAAAAACGGTAACACAACATAGTATGGAAAACAAAAAATATTAAAAACCAAAAACTATTATATACGAGTTTTTTTACATTTGACAATATACAATATACACACAATAGAAAAAAAAGATCATATATTTTACATAAAAAATGTCCCTGACCTCGAAGGAAATCGAAAGAAATGTGCCCACAAAAAGACTTCAATATACCTCCGTCGAAACCATTTAAGTCACGCCATGAAGCTTTTTCATAACATAAGAAACAAAGATATTTAGATGGTTTCCTTTAGTTGATACTCCATGCATAATGGCCGGACATTATAAATAATGATAAAATTAATTATTTTGTTAGTCTGTGACAAATACGTAGCAATATATTTGCAAAATATAATTAATAGACTACGGATTTTATTGAAAATCAAATATTTATGATAATAATTTAAAAGACTGTTCTAAATAAACATTAGGTTGATCAAACACTGAAATATCCATTCAGTTTTTGATATTCTGAATTGTTTCATACATTACACATGGCATTCATCATTTCTGCACACTCAATTTTCTTATAATTCTATCAAATCCGCAGTCTAATAATTAAAACGCGATACCTAATAATTTGTACATATTTAAATTTCACAAATAATTTCAAAAACTCACGAGGAATGATATAACAAAAAATTCCATATTAAATAATTAGTTCATTCTTTCCATGTTGAAGGTTTAACGTTCCTTAATTCACGGCTCTCCGACACATCGACTGTTGTTTCGAGCAATTTTTTCACACTGTGTTGTCTTTTATTATTCAGATTAATTTGTTCATTTTCCACCGGATCATTATAATCTTCCGGAACCTTTCGATCTAAGTGAAACTTACGACAAGATACCGTAATAGTTAACACACTGAAGGCAAGGCCGAACATCAGTCCAGCGAGCACGTCCCACCAGTGATGTCTATTATCACCGATCCTAGTTATTGAGCATACCACAGTCCACAAACAGATCATACATTGCAACCAGGGCTTTAAGAAAAACGTCCAATCTGGCAAACGATTTTGTAAGTACCACTGAAACAGTAAAGAAAACGTGATCAATTATAGTTAATTTGAAAAAATTAGGAAACTTTTGCAAATTCTTTCCTAATTAAAGATGTGGCTGCACTAGCAAATAACTTGAGACATTTCTTGCGAGAGTGACTCTCGCGGCGTGTGTAAACGCACCTAGCTTGCATCGCTGCCGGAAAGCAGCGATACATCGTATAGTGTAAATGCATTTTTCGTGTTTCGCAAGTTATTTCCAACTTCTAACGGTGACTGAAATATTTGAGTTCATTGAAAAAGATGTCGGGGAAAAAAGTACTAGGCAAAGGAAGAAATATTTAGATTAATTTCATGCTGGGAAGGATTCCCTGAACTTTGGGTATAAAAAGGCAAGGACTGTCGTAATAAAATAAAAAAAAAACAAAATGCATAAGATCCTCTGACATTAACGTTTCATATACGTCAAGCTCGCATCTTCTTAGTATTCAATTCCTCACCCATACATTTTTGTTTTTTTCTTTATTTCTCTGAAAATAATTGCTGTACACGCAGTAGCAGCAGCAGATCGAACTGCTGACTCGAGCTGACATTTCCAACAACACTAAACTTGTAATTCCCCCTTTTTTTCAGGATTTTGCACTTTGAATAATATAGACACCACCAACATTTATTGAGCAAGAAGTTCAAAGATCGCTTTCATGAATTATTACAGAGAGTGAATTGCAGCACTATTTGCTAACAAATGTTCAACCTCTGCAAATTGCGCTCTCAAGAAATGTCGCAAGTTTCTTGCTAGTGCAGCCTCAGCTTAATACGCATGGTCAATCATGAGGAGAGATTTTGAACGGTCACTCTGATTTTAATTTTCGAGAACAAAACTCAAATTCAAGGAGAGTAACATCCGTACTTCAATTATACAATTTGTTTGGACTTAAAGATTCAATACGATTGGACTGTTTACACAATTTTTAACATTTTTCATTGACAGTAGTATTTTCTTTCAAAACATTAAACGCCTTGTTACTTTTATTCAAAAAATTTTGTCTATCTCATATCGTTTCCGAGCTAACAGTTTAGGGTTCGACTTTGGGGGATGATTTCACCCCTTTTACAATAATACGTATCTAATATTTATAACTGTTTTTAAAATCTGCTAAATTTCATAAAAATCTCAGCCTGACCGTTCAAAACCTTTTCTTGTCAATATCTTTTTGGGCAAAATGAATTATAAAAAATATTAGGTTAATACGACTATACGATAAAAAAATCATACATTTTTATTATTGAATAGACATCTTTAAATTTTAGTTTTTAGAAAGAACTATCGACAATTCTCATAAAGTAGATTATAAATATGAAACAATGTATACTAATGCTAAAATCTATCTACTCACCACAATAAAAACTGTTGTAAACATAGAAAGAGCGGAATGTCCAGATGGGAATGATTTACTAGAATCTGAGATAAACCATGTTGAATATTCTTTATTTGTACACGTATATGTTGCCACATATCTGAAATAAAATATAAAACATTAATTACGATGTTTAATTATATTAGTTTATTATATTAATGCCTCCTATTCATAAAATCTATCTCTATTTAATACAATCGTATTTTACGGATAATTTAATACAATCGTAACTTAAATACCGATTTAACAACATTATTTTTCAACATAATGTCGATATACAGGATAGTCCTTCTAAATATCTCCTAGATTTGCGATTGATGTGGTTATTTAAGAATAAACACTACACTATTTCAGAGAAATAGAAATAGAAATATATTTAAAGTTAATATGAATTTCACAAATAATTAGTCAGCTCTGCTCACTGGCAGCGGTCTGTTTCATTCGAGTGTTCTTTTACAAGTGCGTATTTTGGATATCTAAACAACTAAGTTCTAACATATTATGTAACCATGGGATCAAATAATTAGGTAACTATCAACTAACGTGACCATGGATTATCAAAATGAATATTTGTCTTCTTCTTAATCGATTGGGCTGGCTTATATCCCTACTCTACGTTTTCTCGTATTACACATACTATGATAATTTGATTAGTAGATGTAGAGTTTTTAGAAGTATTATTACTTTAACAGCGATAATAGAAAAACACTTTGTACCAAAATTTGAATTTCGAAATAAAATGTTGAATTCACTTCCACCGATATCATTGACTTTGAGCAACGACGAGCGAGAAGCGACAGATATATAAGTCCGATGTTTTAAGCCTGAAGACTTAATCGATGTTCAAAACTCAAAAAGAAACTTTTACAATGCATTTTGATACCATTTATGTTGCATAAAAAATATTTTCACCATCATTGCAGATGAAGTTATGTGAACTATCCTGTGTATAATACGTATACATGTGTACATATGTATTGTGTGCCAATTAAACATTTAAATGATTAAGCTACAGATTGATTGCAAGATCTGCTGCCAATCTGCTTCACATACGTAATGCAGGCTCTCCTTTTAAAATGGAAGCCAAAGTGATAATGGATTTGAAACAGACTTGTTCCAATACCTGCTGACTATCTGACGCCAAATTATTCGCCTAATTATTTTACATAATTTTATACAATATTACTAACTTATGTTGGTAGTTTTGTATAAACGTTATCAAAAAAATTATTTGTATAATAAATTAGAGATGATTATATCTACTTTTGTATAATAATTATGTTGTCTTAGCTTAGTATTCTCTATAGATATTCTTATATCAAAGATACAAGAAGCAAACAAGTTCTGCATGTAAAACTGCGATAGAAAAATGCTTACTCGTCAGTGCAGTTTTCAGCTTCGCGTGGTTTGCATGTATCCAAAAAATGTGGTCTTGGTTCGCCGATCAAAGTCTTAATGACGTCGCATATAAATGTCAAGGCAATTATTCCAACCGAATAGTGACCATACCACAGCCATACCTGCTTTGTCCTCGAACCAGCACATCCTAACGATTTCTCGTAATTACTTGCGGAGTAACAGACAAATTCAGTTATCCACATCTAAAAACAGATAATAAAATTACATAATTTTTACATAAGCGACTATACAGGGTTTAAATCCATTAATGGATAATATTCTAGGATCATATTCTACGTTCTGTGTCTGTAGTGAACATTATTCGCAGTATATACAATTACTCTCATAAACGACTAGGCTTGTTTATTTTAACCAACTAACTTTTCTGCATTCTATTTTTCTGTTAAACGAACTTTTAATATTTCTTTTGTTTTTATTTATGTTTTCTTTTTAATATTGCGATCGAGTAAATTCCATAGATTTTCTATGGGATTTAAATCCTGTGATTGTGGCGGAGAATATAACACTTTGGGACAATTATACAGGGCGGTTCATCAGGTATTATCGCCTCGATTCTCGTCGCTATTATACGTATTCCTGCCGTCACGAGAGTCCATACCAGTTTCGCGCAGCTTGGAGGTAGCGGAGTAACCGAATACGTAGATCCGAGTAGTGATGAAAATATTGAAAACATTAGAGAGAAAGAGAGAGAAAGAGAGAGATGCGGACAGCGACCGAAAACTAGTCTGCGCACTACGGATTCGTGACGGCAGGTATGGTATAGAATGCTTATACATACATATACAGGGTGAGTCACGTACCGTTTGCACTTTAAATATCTTTGTTGTTTTTAAAGATACGTCAAATGTTTTAAAGATAATGTTGAATGGTTCAGGGGCTCACACAATACCAAAAATATTCTTGTGTTTGTGTCATTTCTTTTTAGAGATATGGAGGTCACCTTCATTTATTTAAATGGAATCTCCATTTTTTAAACACCTACGATGATGTACCTGAGTTCCCGAAAGTCTAGGAGCGGGCACAGTTCAGTTTTTGATTGTTCATCATCTGAATGCTTTACCGTGTATACTGAACCGTGTGGAGGGGGTTCGCTGCGACCCCCACCACCTTCCAGCTGCGCGAAACGCTCCTAGACTCTCGGGAACTCAGGTATAGTCCCTTTCATTAGGAATTCAGTGACTATAATTATTCAAGGTCATTCAAGATCACGGTCATAGAAAACGTATACATCCCATCGTATACGTACATATATCCATACATTGAAGGACCTTAGTATATTTACTACAAGTCTCATTTCTATTGTGTGGGCCTCAATGAACCATTCAACTTTATCTTTAAAACATTTGACGTATCTTTAAAAATAACAAAGATATTTGAAGTGCAGACGTTACGTGACTCACCATGTATAATGCTGAATGGTTTCAAGAGAGGTGTTGTAAGCTATTTTATAGGTGATCGCGTAGAAGAGATATGAAGGTCATCAACAAGTTTTTACATAGAATTGTATAATTTTACTTGAACTGATCGATGAAGCTTTATATTCCACCTCAAAAAATTATTAAATCTATTAATACATTGTATGCGGAACACGTACTAGTACGTTTAGTACGTAGTAATACTGCAAAATGTACCCGCACACAATGTGTTAATATCGAAAAATCATTAGTTAACAAGATATTTAAATTTTATTGTTACTACGTGATCACAACTCTTTTAATAATGTTGAAATAATTTTGTTCACAAAAAAGGTTCAGTGCAGTCACCGTTTACATCATAACATTTTCTGAATCGAGTAACTAACGATTGTTTTACATTATGTAATAAATCTGGTGGTATGTTATTACATTGAGTAATATTACGATTTTTCATATGAGCAATTGTAGTCCGAGACTCAGCCTATACTTTATTTTTCAAGTAGCCCCATAAGAATAAGTTGAACAGTGTTAACTCAGGTGATCCTGCCAGAAAATTAATGGAACCTTCTATTAATAAAATATAGTATTCCAAAAGACGTGTTTCTTAATCGCTAGCTCAACCGCAACTCCTCCGTGCTCCCATCTGTGCGTCACGCCGAAGTTCACAACACACATTTCACAATTGTATGAAATGTACAGTTAAGAGCAAAATTGAACATATGCTATTTAAAATTGAGTGAATTTGTTTAAAGTCGGACCAACCAACCTGAGTTTCTTTTAGTAGTCAGGTGGATTAGTTTATTAAATTATGTGTACAAAAGACTGCGAAAAAGTTAAGATTTGCCTTTTTCAACTATATTATCTGGGAGGATTCCCATAAAATTTACATACAATCCGGTTTAAGAGAATGTTAATGTTAATGACATTCGTGTCTCTACTACGCATCCACCTACAAAATAGCTGGCAATACCAGAATAACCTTCTCGAAACCATACAACATTATACATACCTATAGTATAAACGTTTTTTATATAATAATAACGACGAAAATCGAGATGGTGTTGTCTGGTGGACCACTCTATAGAGTTCCATTCAAGAAACAAAAGTTGACCTTCATATATCTTAAATCAAATTTGTTCACGTTAAGATATTTTCTCCGTTGTACTATACAACCATGTTTCTGTATTTTTATGATTATGAAGTAATCGGGCTGTATCAGTTTGGCATGAACACTCTGTATAGCTAACAAGAAGAGATCAAACATTTCGCCACCACATCGGTTGTCTATGCTGCCCACTGATTAAATATTTGTACATGTCATAAACATTAAATACAATATTTCTCATTACATATTGAGTATTGACGCAAAAAGCTGTAAAACATAGGTCGACTTATTCTTACTAAGAAAAGTTTTACCAAACCGATGTACCAACTACTGCGAATTCTCCTTGTAAACCAAAAACGTGGCATTATACTTGTTAACAAGAGCATGAAGAAATGGTTGAGTAATAACACATGCACTATCTTAAGACCTACATTGATTCGTTAAAAATAATAACAATGACGATTTAGGGCGATACGATAAATAATTATAATTAGGGAAGATTGGCCAATGATATTTCGACTCTCTGAACTTCTCTCACATTTTATCCTGCCCATATACAGGGTGTTCCGTAAAGGGTGTAAGAGCCGAAAATGGCAGATAGGGAGGGTCTTCCTGAACAACAATTTCCTTTGGCAAAATGCAGAATGGGGCTTGGTTACCGAGTTATTAACAAAAAACACGGACCAATCAGAGCGCTCGGTCTACGCGGGCTCTGATTGGTCCGTGTTTTTTGTTAATAACTCGGTAACCAAGCCCCATTCTGCATTTTGCCAAAGGAAATTGTTGTTCAGGAAGACCCTCCCTATCTGCCATTTTCGGCTCTTACACCCTTTACGGAACACCCTGTATGTA